TTTTGATGCTTGTTAATATCATTTAATGCATTGTAATGGAGTACGACTCCTTTTCTTTGCAAAAAAATATGTAGACTCAAAAAGTTGACAGTGCAATGTCGAATGAAAATGTAGCTGTGTCTCAGAGTACTTCCACTGCTGCACAAAGAAGAGGCAACGGGCTGCTCTGATCCTCACATCTTATCCGCGGCGATTTACACAGTTCGTGGGGGCTGCGAAGCATTTTGGACAGTAGACTATACTTTGGGACATTTTGCGAAAATCACTTCTTTTGGATTATTCCGCTAACATCTATCACACCTTTTCTTCCTCCATCTTTGCAAGCAAATTTAATTTGACCACTTTAAATAGTGAAAATGGCTTAAATTTCTTGCATTACAATCCCAAGCACCTGTCTATATATCCGCTTTCATCTTTCTCGATTCATTGTTAGGATTTATTAATAAAGTTAAAATCAAGCTTACGCGGTTTTCTTTTATTGCAGCACTTTCCAATTTGTGCACACGCATGCACTTAGTTGGAGGGGTGTGGCTGGAGTGGAAATGGGGTCATCGGTTTATAATTGGGTGAAAAGTGTCTGTATTTGAAAAACTTGTAGCAATACCGTCTAATGATAACTAGATTTATTTTTCCAACCATGTATAACGAATTTGTAGGCCAAATGATCTAAAATAATGGCTGATATGCCTACCTACCAACCATCGATTCATTACAAGCAGTATCACATGCCAAAGGAAAATCTACTGTCGAAAAGTAGAACTTGAAGAGGTTAGTTGTATTTTATCCCAAATATTAGAGCAGTCAGTCTTTTTAATGTGCACATCGGCATTTTTTACACATCCATTGCAAAAGCCTTCAGCGAGGCAGTCACCGGGACTGTCATGTTTATCCGGCATTTTGACCATGTATTCGACATGAACGCTTCTAATGAAGTCACATGGTATGTACTTCATTTAATTTGCAGTATCCCCTTGATTTCGTCCGAAAAAACCCCTTACCATTTAGCAAACTTACATACTTTTCCTAGGGGCCATTTATACAAACCGCATTTTACCTCCATTTTGGCAAGTGCTCAAACCCCTACACTTCCGCAATGCCGACAGACAAGTAAACAAACATCAGTTTGTTTTCAAAAAATCATGCTTTCGGATCGCCTGGGAGGCTATAAGAGAGATTTATTCTGTCTCATCCTGTCGCCACTAGTAATGTTGGACTTGAAGGTCAAACTACATGGAAATGGTGTGTCCCTTTCTTACAAGCTTCTCCTCTTTCTGCATGCTGTCCTTTTCTAGGTCGCTAGTCTATCTAATTTTATCATTTTAGAAGTGTTTTCTGAGTCGAAATTAAAGTCAAAAATGCTTCTAGGGAATTTACCA